CCTGTGTGCCTTGCAGACACATTTCATGGTGCGTAGACAGGAAACAAAACCGCATGTTTGATGAGTGTCTTGGTTGGTCAGCGTTGGAAGAGGGCTTACACAGTGTGCTGATGCAAGAAGTCTTGAACCTGCCAGTGACCAGAGACCGCTCACAAGGCCAGTCATCAACTGTTTGTGTGGTGGTCAATAAAAGGTGGAATCAGAAAGGACAATGCTCAAACGAAGCAGAGGAAAGAGAAAAATTCAAAACGTAAATATGACTTAGTTGAAGGAGACAATATAGAGTAGCAGTGCAATGGCTGAAACATGCGACAAGATACATTGACATGAAGTACATGAAGAAGACAAACATGTGAGACATTAAAATAGGCCATTGGTTCCATGTTGAAAGAGATTGGAAGAGGTGGAATTTAGCGTGGAGAGCCCGAAGCGCCCTCAACGAGTGTACAGCTTTTAGGCAATCGAGATGTAGTCGATTAGAATATCGGTGGATCACTAGATGAACAACAACAAGGAACTCCCACGATTCTGCTGACAGCATGACTGAGGTTGACGCAAAATAGAGGACATGGGCCGCTCGCGGCCAAGTTGGCCCCTTTGAAGAAGAATGCAAATGGGTTGCAGGTTTGATAACTGCAAAAGGTTGGAGAAATGGAGACGGCCTGTCCATCTTCAGCACTTGAACTCGAACGCGTCCTCGAAGACAACAGAGTTCAGGACGAGTCAATGTGAAGTGCTCGACATCCGGACGACACTGAACATGCTGAAGCATGTGATGAGACATCGGACTTCCTTCTGCAGAGTGAGATTTGAAAGCCAGCATTCGACGCTATCATGACCAAGGTGACGCTGATCAAGTAGAGGGTAATATTGTCGCATCAGGAAGAAGAGAGAAGCGGTGAAGGCGCGAGCAGAGAGAAGAGACCAGACGCCTGAGGACGCGATGTAAAGAACTGTAAAAAAGCAGAGAGAGACTGAGAGAAGAGACGATGATGAAGTAAGGAGCAAGTGACAGCGTTTAGCTGTCATTGAGATTCAAGAAACACATTGGACCAGATGCTTACAAGTGCAACACTGTTCGGAGGATGGACACGACTTCTAGAATGCAGACAAATATGCCGTCGTCGGAAGGAGAGGAGAAGGTACGCATATTGGAAGATAGATCTATTCATATGTGGACTCCTACCACCAGGTTGCCTGAGAGAGGCAACACCATGCTGATAGCAAATGAGCATGAGCAGGTTGTCATTTCCTTGTTCACAAAATAAACTGCTTGATATCTTGTGACGTGTCTAATACAGAACGTGTATTTTTCTTCGTTGTAAGTACATGCGTACTGGGTGTTCATGGCACTCTATGCATTAAGTTCACCACAGACTTTACTTGCTGCAAATGGAGTGCAGATGCTGTGGTATTCATTTGCAACTTTGGCAACACTAGCACTGGTATAGGTGTGTGACCGTGTTGTCTTCAACAGCACCAAGTTTCGGTCATTCCGATATTCTTTCTTCCTACTAAATGACACAAGGCCCCCAACACAAGCAGCAACAGACGAGGCTTTGTCTTTCAAAATGTCATATTGTCGGCCATACTCAGTTTTGTCTTTGGCGAATAGCAACTTGTCCACCATGTGCTTTACTTCATCCTGCTTTGTCCTATAACGACATATTTTAACAACCCAGATCTGAAAGCCTTGCAAATGTGGAAAAGACAGAGATGTATTTGTGCTCCAGGAAAGTATTTTTTCACCATTGCTATTTCCCCAAAGTCCTTGTCTACTAGGAACACCTTAGTTTGTTTCAGGATATCATCCCCTACACTGTCACGTAGAGCCGAGAATCCAGCATTCAGAAACTCACCACTTTCGCCAGCAACAAGAAAGTGCCCCACTGGCACACTGACACCATGTCCATCTTCAACAAGTAATGTGTACAGTGGCATCCTTGTATCGTTCACTCTGTAAGTGGCGTCAAGAAATAAAACTTCAGGAAATTTACTCATCGCTTGTTTCATGAAGCCAAACTGAATGAAGATTGTTACAATTGTTCCATCTTCATTTACTGTCAACCTAACACTTGCCTGATCATCTTCTTGCAGAATTTTATCCAATTCATTGCACAGCGCTTCAACGTTTGAAGAACCAATTGTCATTTCTTTTTTCAGCTGCATTTCTAAATTGTTTATGTCGCTGCTGGTTAACAGTTTTCCTGATATTTTCAGCGTTTCTTGACAAATGGCTGGTGGGACCCCTAACTTTAATAACTGTTTGCCCTGCTCCTTTTCATTTTCATCCAACCGGCGGACTTCCGGATACGAGAAGAATGACGCTTTCTCCAAGGAAAGACTGTGGTTAATTACCATCTTGGAGATGATCAACGAATCAGTCTTCATGTCCGCCCGTACACGCATAGCTGCAGGACAGTCCAGCTTGTATGACCTGCCAAAGACCAAGAAACATGTTACATAGGGCCCAGAACTGATGAAAAAAAAGTGGGGGGAGGGATTGTCCCGATACCATTCTGCAGTTGATCCAACCTATAAACCCCTTTCAATGTTAATGACATCATCATGACTCAAGACTGCCAGTTTGTGCACGCATCCTCGAGAAATCACCGCAAATTGCCGCGAGTGACAAAAGATCGAAACGTCACAGCGCTACGGTAAATTCCCGTGTCTCCTTGGTCACGTTGGTGCATCATTGTTTGTTTTTTTATGTCGTCTCCGCCGGATGTATGTAGGCCTAAGCAAGATGCGCACGCAAACTGCCAGTCAATACGTCACGATGACATAGGTAGAAATCTATGGAAGGCCATTATCGCCAATACCTTTTAATCGCGCTTAAAATGTATTTTAATCGCGATTGAATTCCAGCCAATCAGAACAGTGGTTTTTAATCGCGATTAAAATATATTTTAAACGCGATTAAGGTCCAGCCAATCAGAACAGTGGTTTTTAATCGCGATTAAAATATATTTTAAGCGCGACTAAATTCCAGCCATTCAGAATAGTGCTTTTTAATCGCAATTAAAAACAACATGAAAGTGTCAATGACACTGTAGCTCACCACAAAAAGGACACAAATGAGTGAGTAAGAAGAAGTCAGTT